CGGGGCAGTGGGCGCGCCTTTCTTTTTTTTTTTTTTTTTTGCGGTACGCGGGCCTCTCACCGTTGCGGCCTCTCCCAGCGCGGAGCACAGGCTCCGGACGCGCAGGCTCAGCGGCCATGGCTCACGGGCCCAGGGAACCCCTGCACCACCAGGGAAGCCCGCGCCTGCCTTTTGAAAAAGCTTTAAGCACAGGAAGCAACCCACAGTTGGGAGCGTTCTTAAACTTCCGGTTGAGCAAAATCCAGGAATCACCCCCACCACCACCCAGTCAGATCGCTTAACCTCTTTTTTGAAAAGCTGTTCTGGGATGGACTCAAAATTAGATTTTTAATTAGAACAGTACTAGAAATAGCTAGCCCCGAGCCCTCAGCTCTGCGCCAGGTGCCGTGCTGACTGCTTTACATGTACTTGCTCCTCAAGTCTCCGCAGGACCCCTATGCAGGGACTGGCATTATTATCCATTTTACACATGAGGAGACTGAGGCTCAGAAAGGCTGGGTGACTCACCCAATGTCACACAGCAAGTAAGGGACGGAGCCAGGATGAGAACGAGGCAGTCGGGCCCCACCATCAGCATTCCCAGCCTCTCACCACGCTGTGCTATGTGTTTAGACAGGGGGAAGTCAAGGTGAGTCCTGTGGGCTCAAGCGGCCAGGGGGCGTGGAGTTGCAGGGAACCAGCACGCCCCAGGAGAGAAACGGGTGCGTCCCTGGTGAGGACTGTAGACTGCTGCCACCCTCACGGCCTGCCACGGGGTGGGGGGCCTCTGAGCACAGGTGAGTGTCCTGCCCACGTGATTTCACACTTCCCAGAGAGGCCCAGCCCAGCAGGCCTCACCTCCTGCGTTCCCTCCCAGGCACCTACAGACATGTCTGCAGCTGGTCTTCCTGACCCTCCTTCCAGCCCATCCCCTCCCTCTGCCTACGGAAAGCTCATCTTCCACCTGCTTCAGGGCCACCTGGGATTCCCATCTCCTTCCTCCAATGTTTCCATCTCTCTTAATCCACCCATTTTCACCCCAGGGAAATCAGACAGCCTTCCCGGGCACACTGGAGAGAGCAGGGCAACTCTACCCAAGTATTCTCTGGGGCCAGAAGCCTGTGGGAACCCGAAGGTGAGCTGGCAGGTCTTTGCAGAGGCCGTGTCTTCTCCCGCACCTTGGTCTTGAACG